CTGGAATTACAGGTACACTCCTCAAATCTGGCCAAAGTCTGTTTCTGTCTCTGCTGGCTCTTTGGCCACAGAACTCAAGGCCTGAGTGAGCTAGGCTGGATGATATCTGAATCCCAGGAGTCTCTTCTGTCCGTCCAGCTTATGGATGGCAAATAGATGGCACTTATGCACCATTGCTTATTCCCTGGCCAGGGCAGACATTGATAATCAATCAGAGCACTCTTTTTGCACTAAGCCCAGATAAAGACTCCCATCTAGCAAAATCAATATGTGAATTGAACCTTACTTGTCCCCTGGCTGTATCAGTCAAGATCCAACTAGAAAATGGCGCACTCAGCTGGTATTCTGGGGAGCCTTTTTAATGAAGGAATTCTCCCAAGAGATGTGTATAGGGTTCAAGGGAACCAACAAAGCCAGCCAAAGCCCTCAGAGACCAGCAGGGGTAGCAATTCCTTACTTGGGAAAGGGAGTGAAGAAGTAGTAACTCAGGAACCAAGTGATAGCTGGGCTTGATGGAAAGGGAGCCCTCCAATGGGGGCTTTGTTTATAGATAGAGAAACACATCCATCACTGAAAGCACGACCCAAGATTGAGGGACCCGGGTAGAGCGGGGACCAAACACCTGTGCTCTTAGTTCCTCCCTCAGGAAGGTCATGTGGCTTTCCTTTGGCCAAGCTCAAGGGGAATGCAGAGAGCAAGTTAGCTGGGGAAAGGATGAGGCAATCCCCAGTGGTCAGTCCCCAGCACAGAGCACGCTAGCCTGAAGCAGCCCTTGGAGAGATTATGCCACGTGGACGCTGGAGCTACAACCTGGATCCCTTCATCCAGCCCTCTCCCAGGCAGCTCTTTGTCTTCTCCAGGATGAGGTGGCTGTATGGTCAGGGCTCCAGCAGGACACAGACACCTCACTCTAGCGGAGCCACTTGAGAAGAGTTCAGGAAAGGAATTAGTTACCAAAGTAGGGGTGGATGTGGTGAAACCATTAAGGTAAAGGCCAAATCCCACACTCAGCCTGATTTTAAAAATAAAGTTGTATTGAAATAGCCACGCCCATTCATTTATACACTGCCTATAGCTGCCTTTCAGCTGTGCGGGCGAAGGTGAGTAGTTGCAACAGACAGCCTACTGCCCTCAATGCCCACAAGGTTGACTATCTGGCCCTTTACAGGAAGAATTTGCTAACTGCTTGCCTAAGGGATGGTGCAGCACTCTGGGACTTAGCACCCCTGAGAGTCATTACTTCCCCTGCATTGAAGTGTCAGAGAGGGAGAGGGTACAGGTCCAGCATGGGAGAGGGAGAGGGTGGAGAGGGCACCCTGCAGGTGCAGTTGCAGGTGCCCAGGTGCCTGGGTATAGGGAGGCAGCCAGCCCATGGTCACTCAACTCAGCAGGGAGAGAGCCAAGACATTGATGCCCTCTGATCTCCTACCAGTGGGTGATTCCTATTTGTTGAGTCCACCTGGAGGTTGTAAAACTAGGGATCCCATCGGAAGAGCCTGCACAGGTCGGCATCCGCAGGCGGGAGCAACACAGAAGAGGCGGAACATGAATCTGAAAGGAGTGTCTTCAATTATCCAAGCAGCCTCTTTTCCCTGTGTGCCTGGCCACTGATGTGACCAACCTTGATAGGAGCCTCTTAGCTCCATGCTGATGCTGCCTGCCTCCAGTGACCTTGGGGCTAGCTGGGGAGTACATGTGGATACTCACAAACCAAACTGTGGGCAAAGACAAAGTTCTAAAGGAAGATTGAAATGATAAAGGACCAAACAGTGACCTAAGCCATGTGGCCCGTAGAGCAGAGGACAGGAAACAGGAGTGTTGGGGTGGAGGAGGCAGGAGGGGTGGGCGGCACACCAGGCATGGCATCAAGGAGGAGGTGTCCCAGCAGGCACATGGTAGGTGGGGGGGGGGTGTGTGAGTAAGTGCCAGGAAGAAGAAAGGAGTATGACTTTTATTGGGAGGCTGCCACATGCCAGGCACATTGGCCACTGATGCTGGGAGGCCAGGGTGCCTCAGTGGCCGTAAACACAGCCTGTGTAGTCAGATCATCCAGGTCCAAGAACCAGCCCTGACAGCTCCTGGCTGAGTGTCCTGAGATGGAGTTACTCAGGGAATCCACTTCGGAGGGTTGCTGGAAAGAGTAAATGAAGGGATCAGTTTGAGCAATACAGAAATCCTGGTGGTACTGTTGTCACTATCCCTGATTTTGTTGCATTCTGTCCTTTAAAAGAGGGAAGGCAGAGACCTCAGAGAGTGGGATCACTCTCTCCCACTCTCTCCTGTGTGATCTTTTTTTTTTTTTTTTTTTGTAGAGACAGAGTCTCACTTTATCGCCCTCGGTAGAGTGCTGTGGTGCCACAGCTCACAGCAACCTCCAACTCCTGGGCTTAGGCAATTCTCTTGCCTCAGCCTCCAGAGTAGCTGGGACTATAGGTGCCTGCCCTGATGCCTGGCTGTTTTTTTGTTGCAGTTTGGCCGAGTCCGGGTTTGAACCCACCACTCTCAGTATATGGGGCGGTGTCCTACCCACTGAGCCACAGGCGCCGCCCTCTTCTGTGTGATCTTGATCCAGTTTGACTTCCCAGATCCTGACTACCCCACACCTAGCATGGTGACTGACACTTGGTGTAAACATCCCACCCCCTGAGCTCCCAGCCCTCCCTCTGAATGCACCCACTTGAGCCAGCTTCCTAGGGCCCCCCAGCTTGCCACCCGCACACAGGGCGCTGCTAAGCTTTGCCCTGCCACCTCTGGATTGGTATTCTCTTATCATCACTGCTGCAGAACTGAGCATGCCTGGCCTGGGGGCAGGCAGACACAGCTGGTGGCAGGTCTCACCTTGACTTTCCTGCTGGGTGACCTCAGGCAAATGCCTTAAACTCCATGAGTTGCTGTCTGGTCTAGTACCTGATGCCAACCACCTAGTGCTGTTTGGGGCTGAAATGTGACAATGGATTTCAGTATAATTACATTTCGGGTCCAGCAGGAATGACAGGGTACCAAGAGAAGTTTATAGTGTAAAGATACATCTCAAGCTTGGCATGTAGTTGGTTCCCCCTAAATGTTGGTGAGTCATCTGGTGCCAGGGGCTGGGCTGGGGTCTCCAGGCCAGTTTCAACCATAGAGTCAAGTGACAATGAAAATCAGATTGACAGCAGTTGCCACTGAGTATGTCACCTTCTTAATATATCTCTGTACTCTTGTTGTACAGCTAAGAAAGCTGAGAGCCTCCGGGGTCCCTGTAGACTTAGGCCATGAAGATGTGATGCCCCACTGTGTGTAGTGCAGGCAGCACAGAGGGATGTCAGGAATCTCTGCCACAGGCCTGCTGCTCTGTGCCTTCTCAGCCACCCTAGTCATTCATTCACTTACTCACTCATTCACTTGACAAATACATACCAAGAGCTATGGTATGGATGAAAATTTTGGCCCTCACAGGGCCCATCCTCTGAATAAGGAGGGGTAGGATTAAGGACTATGCAGTGATCTATTTTATTTTATTTTTTTTTACTATTTTTAATTATCATTTTTGCTTTTTGTATTTTATCTGTTTCTTACTGACTTTTTTTCCTGTTGGTTTTAGTCTTTCCCCTTTGTACTAAAAAAAATTACTACTTTTCTGGAAATTACCTCAGACAATAAATAAAACTAAGAAGTACTAAGTTTTACCCCTTGATAGACCATTGAGAGTACAATTATGCTCTGATTTAAATGCAGCCTCATTGAGAAGATGACTCTAAGCAAAGACTTGAAGGAGATGGAGATGTGAGCCATGCAGAAGGAAAAGCATTTGAGGTAGAGGGAACAGCATGTGCAAAGGCCCTGAGGTTAAGATGTCCCCAGAGGGTTGTATTTAGGAAGACAGTGTAACTGTTATGGAGAATTGCAGGAAAACACTGTTAGGACAGGTGGCTGTGAGGGGTTCTATAGGTGGTTATAAAGACTTGGCCTTTATTTGAAGACAGGTGAAGTCACCAGAGGACTGGCTGCTTCATTAATATTAGACATTGTAGGGCAAGGAGGAACATCTTGAGGGCCCCATGGGGCTGCTCAGATCCGGTGTGGATATGTGGAAACCTGGAAAAGCTGTCCCTGCCCTTAGGGGTTGCCTTCCTCTTGAACAGCCTCCCTCACCTCTAAGGGGACACTTGAGACTTTATGCCACGAATGTGAAGTGTCTGAGGCCTCTTCAAGGGCTTCAAACAGCAGGAGATGAGGCAGGTGTGTGTTTCCTGGAAGGGAAAGTGGTGATAAGAACACTTGCTTAAATTAAGGCTTGACAAAGCCTCCCCAGCTGAACTGGCTTCTGGCCTGGGGCAGTGGGGCTGGTCCAGGGCCTCTGAGGTGCAGGACGTAGAGAGTGAGCTCCTTCTCTTCGCCCCCTTGTGCAAAGGTCCTCAAGGGCAGGCTGGCAGCCCAGGGCTGGGGACATCCCAGACCAAAGGCCAGGATTCCCCCTGGAGCCTTGAAGCTGAGGGTGATTCTTGGGAAGCAGCCACTGATATCACCAGGCCTGGCTGGAGGGGAGGCAGGGTGGTGGCTGAGTAGCCACCTCACGTCAGGGCTATTCATAACCTGGGCTTTGCTCCTTAGGCCTGGAGCCTGTGAGTCACTTGGAGGCCTCTCCTGTGATTTCCAAAGGCATGGAGAGGCGTTGTCCCCTCCCGTCCCCCAGCCTTTCTCCCTGGACATGGGGCTTCATGCCCAGCCCCCAGCTTCCTGTGCCTTTGCAAACTGAAGAAACCACAGTGTGGAAGATCATTGTTTTCTTAAGGCAAAGACTTGACTGTTTGTACTTAGACGTATTTCCAGAGTCTCTCCTGGGCACGTGATCTCATTTGAGCTGAAATGGCCCTTCTTGGATCTGTGGAGCTTGAGGTTTCCTCCTTGCAAGGTGGTGGAAGGGTTCTGGGGTCTCAGCCAGGGATGTGGTGCTAAATGTTTACTGGCAAGCTCCCTGAAAGAAAGCCCTGATTTGTAACTTTTGCCAATTTCTGCAGTGTAAATACTCCCACAGCTGCCGTTAAGCTACTAATGGGGCATCGTTGAACTCAGAGTTGGAAAGAGATATTCTGGTAGGTGCTCAGGAGATAATGGGTGCTGGTGCTGGGTATGCAGGGTGGCAGGGCCCAGGTAGCTCTCAACTTCACTGGCTTCCAGGACGTGCATCTGCTGACGCTGTTTTCTCATGGTCAAGTCCCTGAAGGTGGCTACTTCCAGGCCTGCTAGGTCATAAAAACTCCTGGTTAGTGGTTGATCTGACAGCCAGGCGTGGAGTAGCATCACCCAGAAGAGGATGTTGCTCAGCCTGGAGCTGGAAGAGAGAAAAGTCAAAGGAAGAGGAAAGATCCTTTTTCCCCTACTCAAGACCACTTCCACCAAGAGCTGGGTGAATAATTGCCTCCCACTTGACTTTCTGTGGGAAGCATTTGTAGTTTGCTCCTTTGGGGGGCAGTTCTCCTGTGTGCAGCTCCTGTGTCCTCTACCCCCTTCACCTTACAAGCTAAGACGAGCACCTTCCCAGTGATACTGCATATGCTTCCCCCAGACCCTCACTCACTGGGGGGAGATGGAAAATGATGTAGCCACTTTGGAAAACAATTTTGTAGTTTCTTTAAAAACCAAACATGAAGTTACCACATAACCTTAGCAATTTCACTGGTAGGAATCTACCCAAGAGAAATAGAGGCACACAAATACAGGCACACAAAAGTGTAACATGACTGTAACAATGTCATTCACGATGACCCCAAAGTGGAAACAATACAACTGTCTACCATTGATGTGCAGGGATTTTTTTTTAAAAGGTCGATTCTTGCAATAGAATGTGAGTCGGTCACAAAAAGGAAGGAGGTACCAGTACACACAGTGACACGAGGAACTTCAAAAACATTTTGCAAAGTGAAGAAGCCAGATGTGAAAGACTAAATACTGTATGTTTCCGCTTACATCAAATATCCAGAAAAGGCAGATCTATAGAGACAGAAAGTAGATGAGGCGCTGCCTGGGACTGAAGGTGGGAATGGCTGGTGACTACAAATGGGCATGAAGAATATTTAGGGCTGAGGAGGATGTTCTAAAGTTAGATCATGGTGATAGTTACACAATTCTGCAAACTTATTAGAAGATCCTCAAATTGGGTACTTATAATGGGTGAACCTAACAGCCTACACATGATGGCACCCTTTCCAAGCCATGTTTCCTAAACCCTTTTCAGTGCACTCATCGGATATGACCTCTCATTGGATGGGCTCTTTTTTACCTGACATTCTCCAGTTATGGGACACTGTGTCTGTTTTTCCGATGCTACAGGCAGCACAATGATGGACATTTTCTGGTATAGGATTACCTCCTCAAATTTACTTCCCAGCAAAGGGCTTTCTGGGTCAAAATTACTAAAGTTTGTTAAGGCTTTAACAAAATGTTCCCCCTAAGTGTGGGACCAGCGGAGAGCTGTGGCTTCTCACCCTCCCCTAATTTGCATGGGCCGACTGCGAGGCAAACCACCCCCTCAAAAAAGAAAACCCCTCTGTTCCGTGGTCTTAGAATAGTGGTTAATCTTCAAAGAGTGACTAGAAGGGATAGGAGGGAGGTTCTGTGGTTCTGTTTACTTTTTAACTGAGATATGATTTACATACAAGAAAATGTTTCTTGTACATCTGGATGAAATTTTGCATGTGACACACTTGTGTAATCAACCCTCAGATCAAGATATAGGATACTTCCAGTGCCCCAGAAAGTCCCTCATGCTTCTTCCCAGACAAAAGCTAATTGCTCCTTGGACCTCCATTACCAAAGATTAGATTTGTCTGTTTTTAAACTTCTTATAAATAAAATCATAATTTTTAAAATCTTGATCAGGTTGCTAGTTATATACAGAAAGTGCCAAAAATATGTACACACAGTTTAAGAGAGAAATAGACTGTATTAAAATTGTAATACTCAATTCATGTTTGACTTCTGCAATTAAAAGAGATACAAGATACAAGATAACAAATGTAACTGGTATATATTATTACAATTTTAATACAGAGTATCCCTTTCTTAAAGTGTGAATACTTTTTTGGGCATGTATAGGGGTGCTCTTTTTGTAAAAGCCACTGAGCTATACTCACATTATTATGTATGTTTCTGGTTATGTGTTATACCCTCATAAAATTTTAAAGTGGAGGGGGCAAGATGGAAAAGATTTTAGGGCACTGTCACTTGTTGCAGGAGTCAAGGACAGTGGTCACACCTGTCTGTGGCCGCTCCCCCACATAGTCTTGGTTTATGGAATTGGTGGGGTGGGAGGGCTGTGGCCATGAGCTAACCTGTCTCTCTCTTCTCTCCCATTCACCTGACTCTCTCTTCTTCATCCATTCACCCCATGTGCTGTGTGTGTCCGTAAAGCCTCATTCTGTGCTACCTGGCAGAGAGCTCCATCTCATCTCATCATCACGACCCTGGCACAGCCTCAGCATGGCCATCTCATCACGCCTCGCCCTGTGGGAGCAGAAGGAAAGTGCTGCTCGGGGCTGGGGCTGCAGCTACAGGGGCCAACTCCACCCCCAGAAGACAAGTCAGAACCTGGGCGCTAAGCTTGCCCATTCCCACCTCGGGCAGAGAGTCTGACATCCAGCCATTTGTACCATGTCCAAGCCCATCTTCCAACTTCTCCTGGGCAGCTAGCTCAGTTAGCCACAGCCTCTCCAACCCAGCAAGGCATGAGTGACCTTGCCCTTGACTTGTCCTTTAGTTGCCTAGCCTTTTCCTGTTCATCTGTGACAGTGGGGAAATGAGGGAGGATCAACTGTCCCATGTGGATCCTCCTAGCAGCTCTGATAAACATGGCAGCTTGCATGGGAGGAGGAGCATGGGGCAAAGGTGGAGCTGTCGGCTGCCAGTTTTGTGCCACAGAGGTGGATTTCTGTGGTCTCTGCTTTCAGTTACCATGGAGGATTGGAAACAGGGTCTTCCCCCATGTTATTACCTTCTCTCCCTTCATATTTCTTATGAGAAACCATGAAGGCTGCCGCATTCTTGAATGCCTCTCATCTCCTCTGCCCTGACACCACCTTGTGCATGTGACTTGATGAGTTGGAGGTGTTAGGTGTGGGGGTGTTAGGTGTGGGGTTGGGCGGAAGCTCCTTTCTGGATGCCTCCTGGCTGCCCTTGCCCCTCCTAGCCTGATGGGGGTGGCACTGAGTTTAGTGCTGCATGTGGCCGAGGCCGACATGAAGAGTGTACACTTTGTGACTTTTTCCCATGATGGAGAGCGGTGTGGCCGTGAGCCCGGCTGCGCACACCCTGCCTCTCTGCTCCTGGGCAGGGGTCTGCATGGACCAGCGTTGCCCCCGCGCTCTGCCTTTCCTGCCCCCTTTCCACGCCTCCTTTGTCAGCAGGGCTGCAGAGAGCAAGTCTTCACCAGACATGCAAAGACTGTGTTGATAAGGAGGTTATTTTAACCAGCATCGAGCTCTTCCATATAAAGTACTGGTGACTTTATTTCTCATGAGCAGTCACAGTGATGCACAGTCCAGTAGACACAGTGCACAATCAGGCCTCAGTCTCAGCCTCCAAGGTTTTTGTGGTCAATGAAAGGGCTCAGCTACAACCCAAGTCGAGCCAGCTCCAGCCCTTGGCTACATTTCTGGGTGTAAAATGCCCGGCTCCAGCCCGCCTGTTTGGTCCTAGTTTAAGGACCATCAAGAAGCCACAGTGCTGTGAGTGGGCTGGAGTCTTGAGGTTGGATCCTCACATAAATCATGGCTCAAGTCCTTTCCCATTTAACAGTAATTAAGTGATTAATCTATTATATGAACTACAAGCTGACTAGGGGCTGGAGAATGGGGATAGTTCCCTGAACCCACCCCCTCTGGAAGCTGGAGAGCTCCTTTCAGAGAAGGTCCCTCAGACATGAGTCTGTCCCATGGCTAGGAATTGAACCAGTGGCCTTCGTGGTCCGTATGCACAACACGAGGAGATTCCATCAGGCAGAAATCGCCTCTGCTGTGCATGGATCCCATCCTCATGTGCTGCCCTGCACCTGCTTGGCTGTGGCCTCTCATGCATGGGCTTGGTCATGTATGTCCTTCTTGTCCCCCCACCAGGCTCCATTGCAAACTTTTTGAAGGGCTACTTGCCCCTGCTGGTTCACTCACTGATCTCTCTCCTTTGCTTCTGCAAAACAGATTCGGGAAGAGGACAAGAGCCCTCCACCATCCTCGCCCCCTCCCCTTTTCTCTGTCATCCCAGGGGGCTTTATTAAGCAACTGGTTCGGGAGACTGAGAAAGAGGCCAAGGAAGCAAGACAGAGGAAAGAGGCCGCCCTCGCCTCTCCTGAACGGGAGGTAAGTGGCTCTCGGGAAAGGGACCTGATGCCTTTTCCTACCCACCATCCTGTCTTGTGAGCCTCCCCTGAGTCACTTGTCATCTTGCCTTTGCTCCTGCTGTCCCAGCTTTGGAGAACAGCCTTTGTCCAACTCGATTTATTAAACTCCTACGCATCCTTCAAAACCCAGCTCAAGTAGCACATCTCTGGGAAGTCTTCCCGTTGCCCACCTTCCTCTGATTCCTTCCGCACTCTCTATGCCTGTCTTAGTTATGGTTGGCATGGTAATTGTTTGATCATACGAGTCATTTGACCAGGGCTCCTTCAGAGCAGCAACTACTTCTCTCACTCATCTCGACATAGTGCATGGCCCATAGTGACTATTTGACAAATATTTGTTTAATGAATGAATGAATAATATCAATTGATGAATTATTCTGCTATTTTTGCAGAAAAGGTGACCTAGGTACTGACTAAGATGCATAGCTTATTCACATTATTTTAAGCAGAAAAGATATTCCATTGGTGCGCATGGCATAGTTGCATGGGTTTCTAAAATAGTCAACCTTGCATACCAGGTGATACATCACAATCCCAAGCCCCCAAGTGCCCTCCAGGTGCCATGCCCACCCTGGCTCTTTCCTGAGTCCCTTAGAATGGTCACAATCCAATAAAGGTTAATGTTTGGCACAGACAGGAACCTCAGTACCTTTCTCCAGCTAGTGTCCCTTCTGATTGGTGCTGTCCCCCCAAAACCCTTGTCTATTCTAAACAGCATTGCTGGACTGAGGCAGTAGGTGAACACAATGCACCCCCTATATTTTAAGGATGTGCAAACTTGTCCCTGGTGGTGGCAGTGCTCTTTCCCTTCTTTCTTCCACCTCCTTAGCCAGGGAGCCCAGGCAGAATGATGAGGCTTGCCAGGGGAAGGCGGGCACAAAGCCAGTGCCCCTGGAGAGTAGCACGTAGTAGGAGAGACAGTCTCCTCCTGCCTTTCCACTGCCCCCTCCTGGGCAAGGTGAATGCTTCACTGTTTGCACTGACAGGAGCAGATGCAGTGGCCTCGGGACCTGGTGTGTCTTGAGCCATCCTAGCTCCTCTCTTAACTTCAGCCCAGCCAGTTCCACTCATGCCTGCACCTGTCTCATTAACGACTCTGCTGCATCAGAAAAATCCTCCAGCGGTTGCTCAGCAGCTGCTGAAATATCCCAGTCAATTTTTGGGGGGTGGTGGTGGCAGAGAGGACAGGTCCTATCCTTACCCTTGCATATGACCTAAGGTGTAAGTGGGGTCCAATGTTGATCCCAGTTAAGTTTTAGCTGGTCATGATGAAATGTTGCTGTCTGCTTTTTATTACTAGAAGATGCTTATTTTGGAGCTCATGGACTCATGTGATACCCTGTACAGCAATGGGTGTGGATGGGATTCTACCCATTTATCACAGGTGGAGACTGAGGCCCAGAGAGGTCAAGTGACTTGCCCAAGGTCAGGAAGCCAGATAGAGGCAGAGCTGGGGCAAGAGTTTGTGTGTTTTCGGCCCTTGAGAGCTGCCTGGGAAAGAATGTCTGGTGAGTGAGGTGGTGGGGATGATGTCACAGAAGCCCAGGGAGCAGGGGACAGAGGGTTCCATGAAACCGTGGGATGTGCTGGCATCATTGTGAACAAATTAAGAGGCAGAGCTGAGTCGGTGGGAACAAACTGTCACTGCTGGGCTTAGATGGAGACTTAAAGGCAGACATAGGATGGACACACTTCAGCCCACAACAGGTGGTTGGCACATGGGCCAAGATGTTTCTGTGGCTGGAGCAAGAGAGCCTCAGAACATGTTCCCTTGGGGCAGCAAGCTCTGGCTGGTTCCTGCCAATTTAATTTTTCTGTCTTGATTAGTAAGTAACTCCACTCACTCTCCTTGTTCCAGCATAACCGTTTCATTTGATCATCGTATAATCTTTGCAATAAGCCATTAGAATCCATCTCATTTTGCAGAAATGGAAAATAAGGCCTGGGGAGGTGATCTGATTTCCTGAGGCAGGGAGAGGCTTGAATAACACAGGAATAGAAAGGTGCTCATGTGAAGTGCCACAGAGACCTGGGTTCTAGCTCCAGCCCTACCATTTTGTGTGGTCCTGGCAAAATCCCTTCCCCTCTCTTGGCCTCACTTTACTCATCTGTGAAATGGATGTATCATGAGTTTCCTCTCAGCCCCAGCAATTCTAGAGTTGCTATTTCCTCTCTATGCCAAGAAGGGTGCAGGAGCAGACTAAGGGCTTTGATGATGCAGAAATACGGCAGGAGAAGACGCATGGGGTTGGGGGGAGGCTGGAGTTGTTTTTCCTGTTTGGCACATCCTCATGCTACTGTCTCCTCTGGGGTGGTTGGTTAAAAATAAGGTACTGACTCACTTTTCAAAATGGTGTTGACTTTGCCAAGTGCAGTCAATCCCCTTTCCAAGGCTATGTCCGGCCTGGCCCCAGAAGGTCAGTCTGAACCACTTGGCCATGGGCACCAAAGCCACAGTTCTTAGCTCTGGTTGCACACTTGAATCACCCGGGGAGCTACAACTCAGAGCAACTAAATCAGACTGTCTGGGATAGGCCAAGGCATCCGTGTTTTCTTAAAACACTGCAGGAGATTCCAGGGAGCCCTAAAGAGACATGTAAAGGTGTGTAATATGTTAAGGGCAATGGCTTTGTCTTGTGGGCCAGCTAAAACTTTGGCATCTGCTTCCTTCCTTGTAGAATGGGAAGGAGTTCAGAAATTGCCTTGCTGGCTCCTTATGAGGGAGACTGCATGACAGTGATGTGGGGCCCATTGCAAGGGACCTATAAATGGCAGATGCCATTATTATTGTCATTATCACAAAGATGAAGATGGACACTGTGCCGTGGCATGGACCACCCAAAAACAGAAGCAAGACCCTGGTGAAAGCCAGAACGGAACGAGAACATAGTCACGCTGTGACTGGTGTCCCAGTGCAGGGCTCTGGGGCTTCCTGGATGTGTGAATCAATTTCTGATTGAGAGTTCAGGGAAAGATTTGCAGAGAGGTGACATTTGAGTTGGGAACCCAGACTAGGTCAGGTGGTAAAGCCAGGCATCCCAGTAGAATTGTCCCCCAGGTCCTCTCCTGCAGGAACCAAGACAAAGCTGTCCCTGGGAGCTCTTCAGGCCACAG